TGAGATCTATATCTGGAAGATTGTTCGTCTTCATGGTGTGCCCGTGTCTATCATTTTGGACTAAGGTACGTAGTTTACCACACATTTCTGGAGAGCAGTTCAGCGTGAGTTGGGCACACGGGTCGAGTTGAGTACAACATTTCATCCTCAGATGGACGGGCAATCCGAGCGTACTATTTAGATTTTGGAGGATATGCTCTGAGCTTGTGTCATTGACTTTGGAGGCTCGTGGGATCAGTTCTTGCCCTTACCGGAGTTTACCTATAACAATAGTTACCAGTCGAGCATCCAGATGGATCATATGAGGCTTTATATGGTGGGCAGTATCAGTCACCGGTTGGATGGTTTGAGCCAGGAGAGGCTCGGTTGTTGGGTACGGATCTAGTACAGGAGGTCTTGGACAAGGTCAGGATCATTTAAGATAGGCTTCGTACAGCTCAGTCCAGCTAAAAGAGTTATGCCGACCGTAAGGTTCGCGATGTGGCATTCATGGTCGGCGAGCGGGTGTTGCTTCGGGTGTTGCATATGAAGGGCGTGATGAGATTTGGGAAGAGGGGCAAGCTTAGCCCTAGATTCATTGGCCCGTTTGAGATTCTTGATATAGTGGGAGAGGTGGCTTACAAACTTGCGTTGCCGCCGAGCTTATCAGCAGTGCATCCGGAATTTCATGTGTCCATGCTTCGGAAGTATCACAGAGATCCATCCCACATGTTAGACTTCATTAATGTCCAGTTGGATAAGGACTTGTCCTATGAGGAGGAGCTGGTAGCTATTCTAGACCGGCAGGTTCGTCGCTTGAGATTGAAGAGTTTCCCTTCTGTTCGTGTTCAGTGGAGAGGTCAGCTTGTTGAGGCAACGACCTGGGAGTCCGAGTCCGATATGCGGAGCCAATATCCCCATCTTTTCTCCGACTCAGGTACTTCCTTCTTATGTCCGTTCGAAGACGAACGGTTATTTTAGAGGTGGAGAATGTGATGACCTTTTTAGAAATAAATTTTGTGTTCCAAGGCCTTAAAACCTCCTTTTTATCTCACTTTGATTCGCTTGCGCAGTCCGCACGTGTATCCGAAAAGTCATTATATAAAAAACTATGAAAAATGATAAATCTTGCTTTTAAAATGAATTTAACTTGACTTCAATCAATATTTTAGGTAAACTAACCCGGACCCGTGATTTGACGATCTCGAAAGGTCCGTAGAAAAATATGGGACTTGGGCGTATGCCCGAAACTGAATTTCGAGGTCCCAAGCCCAAGGAATGAATTTTTGAAGAAAAATATTTTGTGAAATTATAAGAGTTTTTGGAAATGAATAGAGGTTTGAAAATTATGGTATCGGGCCCGTATTTTGGTTTCAAAGCCCGATACAGGTCTTATATAATAATTAAGTTGTTTTTGTGTAATTTGGTAAGAATCGGAAGTGGTTTGGTATAAAACGGACCTATAGTTGAGAGAAAATGGAAATTTCAATGTGTTTAAGTAATCTTATGAATTTGAGGTTGAATCCGTAGTTATTGATGTTATTATAATGATTTAATCGCACGAGCAAGTCCGTATGATGTTCTTAGACTTGCGTGCATGATTAGTTTGAAGCCCGGAGGCTCGGGTGAGTTTTGGATAGGCCTCGGAGTGCATTTAGCCTTAGAACATGACAGTTGCAGGTTCAGAGAAAATTACAAGTCTCTAAAACCAAGCTCCGCGGTCCGCAGTGGGGTTTTCGTGACCGCGGTAGGAGCTTCGCGACCGTAGTGGGATTTATGCGGTCAGCGGTGAGCATGGCTGAGTCTTCGCGGCCACGCTCGATACTTTGCGGTCCGTGGTGGAGCTCTGCAACCACGATCCTTTTTATGTGGTCCGCGGTGCGGGCCTGAGAGGAGTATATAAACGGGACTCTTCAGCTATTTTCAGTTTTCAAAACCCTGAAACATAAGAGACGATTTTTCAAACACTCTTTCTTCCTCAAAACACTAGTAAGTGATTTTTAACTTATTTCTTTCACCCCTTAACTTCTTTTTACGAGATTTCATCCTAGAATCTTGGGGTTTAATGGTGGAATTGGGAATTTTGGGTAAAACCTAGGAATATTGAAATTTGGGGATTTAGACCTCAAATTCAAGTTGGAATCCAAAACTAATTATATATCCGGGCTCGGGGGTGACTGGGTAATCGGGTTTTGGTCCGAATTTAATTGCACATGTTTATTTGGTAGTCTTGTCCTAGCCTCGTCACTACTTCGCCGAGGTTAGTCTAGGAACTTACCAGCACATGGGGTCGGTTGTGCTGTTACTACACTCTGCACTGTGTGCAGATCCCGATGCAACAACTTTTGGACTGCATTAAGGGTGTTGTCTTCTGTCCATTCAGGCGACCCAAGGTAGTCCTGCAGGCGTCCGCAGGCCTTGGCGTCTCCTTCTATCTTTCTATATTGTTTCTTCTATGTATTTCTGAAACAACTTGTATTTATCTTTCGGACCCATATTTGTAGTGCTCTTAGACAGTCTGTGAAATTGTGACACCAGATCTGGGTAGTTTTTTTTGTTTATGGATTTGTATTGGTAATGTTTTAAATTGTTACATTTCTTTTCTTCGGCTTAGTTAACTCCGTTGTTCATATAATGTTAGATCACAACTGTTAAATGATTAAAAATAGAAACAGGTGAATAATTGTAATGGTTGGCTTGCCTAGCTTTCACTAGTAGGCGCCATCACGACTCCCGAGGGTGGGAATTCAGATTGTGATAGTAGGGGCTTGATGATGCCCTCAACACGTTCTTCGATGGCATGGATATGGCCGCATTAGAGGACTTTTCAGGGCTTGATCACCTGAAGGTCCCGAAAAAGGATATGCCATATCGGGAGCAGGCGGGACGAGTTCGAGCCCAAAACTACTGAAGCAGTTCCCTGTTCCGAGCATGGACCCCGAGCGCAAGAGAATGGTCATTCTCACAATCTTGGCGGACGCCCTGGTCCTTTCTGCTCCGGTGAGCGTATCTAGCTACCTTCGATGCCTAGTGACCAAGGAGGGTCAGGCGAAGATGAACGAAGTGAAACGTCGAGCCTTTTTAACGAGGCGCAACAGGCGCTAAATCGGGTAAGGCGTTTACCCTTCGCACCCCTTTGTGAACCTTGTTTAGTTTTAGACTTGTTCTAATAATTTCATTGTTTTTCAGGCTTTAGTGCTTCATCTTGAAAGCTTTCTTCGGTCCTGCTTCGAGATCAGCCAGGTCGAGTTCGAGCTCAAAGAGTAAGTCCGGAAGAAGGACATGTATAGGGATCTTAGTGAGCAACAAGACAAGGCACTCAAGGACCTCCCGATTCTACAAGCTGAGCTGGAAAAGGCTCAAACGAAGGCTTCGTCCTTGAAGAGAGAGTATGATGACCTGGTCAAGAAGGTAAGGATCTTTGAGGCTGAAAACGAGAAGCTAGTCGTGGTGACTAACAATGCAACTTCGCAGGTCCAACATAAGATAGACCTGATCGACCAGCTTCGGGCTGAGATGGATGAGGTCAAGGCCACGGCCGAGGTGTGGAAGGGCATGATGGACCTGCTGGCTTCAGAGAAAGAAGCTGCAAAACCGAAGCTGGCATCGGCCGAGAACCAAATTGTTATTTTTTCGTGATGACCAGACTCAGCTTCGATGTTCAAATGAGTAAACTGAGAGTTTGATATTTTTGGGCTGACCTGAAATCAAGACTTCTAAGAACAAGCGTAAAATAAGGTGTGTTATGGAGATTCGTATCAAATTACCATTATTATCCTTAGCCCCACGGTGGGCGCCAAAATGTTTACCCTAAAATTGGGTAATAATTAAATCTGTACGTGGTTTTAAGGATATGTGATTTAATCTAACACGAATAATTAAGAATATCAAACAAATGGGTTAGAAATGAAATAAATGTCCAAACCAGTTGTAATACTATGATCAAGCCTGACTTTAGAATGATAAATGACTTTGTCCTAGGTCGGGCCCTCGGTTCAATCCCGATCGTGAATGAAGAACAAAACAAATGAGCAAAACTTTAACAATAGCTAAAAGGCAGAAAATAAACTTGTATTGCTTTGATTCGCGTGTTACAATGTGGCTTACAAAAGAAAAACTTATCCTTTATATAGTAGGAGAGTTTCGTCCCTAGTATAAGTCTAAAAAAATTAAAAATCTTTTCTTCCTGGTAATTACTGATCCATAACCGACATCGTGCGAGATCCGCTGCGCCGTGATATCCGGTTGGGTACGAATATCACGGTCCTCTATCCATCATGTGTAACCGTTTACAGTGCTTTTCGAAGTCTTAGAAGTCATTCTTGGCCCGGGGTGCGTCGCTTTACCATACACGACGACAGACACATCGTTCATTCTCTCTGGATCTCGATACAAAGGGTCTTTAGCCTCAATTACAGTCTCGTGCGTCCGTGCTCTTCCTCCGTTTTCTCACCGGGAAATCGTGGTAGACGTAACCCCTTATTTCACCCGTACACAATTACAATATCTGTAAGGAAAATAAGAAAGGTAGACCAGAATAAAGCGACCAAGAAGCTACTACTGCTAGATACAAAGTAGCAGATAAATTCATACCAGTTACCACTATGTTCCTTAGAAACCAAACCTATTTGTGTAACAAATATTAGCCCTATCTTTAATCAGGATCTTGAGTTCGGATTTTAGGAATAAAAATATAGTATAATGCTTCCTCCTTTAACAATTTTTACATAGGACAAATTAAATTCGAATTAATATCTGTATATTGGACTGCTTAAAAAAAGGATATAATCATAAAAGAACACGGTAAAAGAAAAAGATTCAGTCATGAAGTAATTATCTATGACACAAGGGGGTGTTGGTCAGTCAAAACTGGACATGGAGCTGTCATTCAAGCTAGCAGAGAGTGGGTGAATATAGAAAACTGTTTGCATATGGCCCCCATGTTTTCAACTTTTTTACTGTCTCTATCTTAACCTGCTGTCTATCACCCTTCCCCATTTGATTAATTTCCTCAAAAACCCTACACAGTGCTTCCCCTCCCTTTTTCTGCTCTCTCTACTCTTTTATCCAACCACTGTGAAAGAAATAGATAGAGTGGTTAGTTTGCTTCCCCTATTTTGAGGAAAAAACCAATCTCTCATCATTTTCAGAATACAAAGCTACTAAATCAACCAACAGGACAGTGTTCCAAGATTTTCTACTACTGCTCAAACAAAGAAACTCAAAGGAAGACCAAAGAACAGAAACTAACCGAAAGAAAACATAGAGAAAAGAGTCCTTTCACTCACTCTCCCATCAATCGCTTCATCATTCAATTTCAACCCCATTATCAAACTCTTCCTTCTTTTGCATCATCAGTACACCTTCCTTTCTCTAGTCTCTTTCTTGTAATTTACAAATATGGTAATCTTCTGATATTTCAATCAAAAACCTCACATCTTTCCCCCTTTTATATCATGCCATATGTTCTTTTTCTCGGAACAGTCTCATTTGGGAAATCTCCCTTCTCTTATTAAACCCTAAAAAATCAAGGGTTGCCCCAAAAAAAAAAGTAAAGGGAGGGTAGAAGAAGGTGAACAGTCAAAAAATCAAGAAGTGAAATATTGATCAAAAGAATCAGTAGATCCCATTGAGAGAAGAAATTTGAGCTGAAAATATTCATGGATTCTAATAATAACAGCAGCAGCCACCTGAACAATAGCAACAACAGTAATATTACTATTACGTCATCTTCTTCAACATCGTCATCGACCTCAAGCCGATACGAGAACCAAAAGCGTCGAGACTGGAACACTTTCGGCCAGTACCTTAAAAACCACAGGCCTCCACTTGCCCTCTCCCGCTGCAGCGGCGCTCACGTGCTCGAATTCCTTCGTTACCTTGATCAATTTGGTAAGACCAAAATTCACACCCCGATTTGTCCGTTTTACGGTCACCCGAATCCTCCAGCACCATGTCCCTGTCCACTTAGGCAAGCTTGGGGCAGTCTTGATGCTCTTATTGGACGTCTTAGAGCTGCTTATGAAGAAAATGGAGGAAAACCTGAAACAAACCCTTTTGGTGCTCGTGCTGTGAGACTTTACCTTCGTGAAGTTCGTGATTTGCAGTCAAAAGCTAGAGGAGTTAGCTACGAGAAGAAGAAAAGGAAACGCCCTCCACCGCTGCAACAGTTACCTATTCCGCCACCGCCATCATCAGGTGATCAAACTTAACGTAAAACATTGCTATCTCTCGAATTACTAGCTAATATGCAACTTTAAATTTAGTTATGGATTTAGTTGTTTGAGGGTCTTCTATTCTAATAAGTACTACTATTTCGTTATGATCTTTAATTATCACCTATTGTTATGTCACTAAGAAGGGTTTGTTAATGAATCATAAATTGTAGTACCAATTTCTTTGTGTAGTTCTGCCTGTCATTATGGATTTAAAGCATAGATTTGCAAATGTACGATTTTGGCACTATTAGTAGGAGTAGTTGTTGGAACTGGTAGAGGGAGCATAAATCTTGTAGTCGGAGTAAATGTACTATGGCAGCAACATGACTAGAGGATCAATACTTCGGAATAAATTTAATCATGATATTATGGAATATTTAGCTATCGTCATTACTTAGATTTCTTCTAATATTGTACCGTGTTAATTGCATCATATACGTCAGATCCCTACTGAGCATTTCCCATATATAATCAGCTAGCATATAGGGTTGATCTCCAAGTTGATAAACTTAGTTACGAGTAAATATTTTCTTTTTCTTTACTCATTCATTGTTCAAATTAAGACCTAATACAGATTCTTGCTGGATGGGTGTACTAGGAGGTAAAACGTAACTCTTTGATATGGGAGATTGAGCATTTTCTCGTGGATCTGCTTTTTTCTTGTTTTAATTTGCTTTTTAGCTTTCCAACTTTTGCAACTTTACTGAGATTGAAATGTTGGTTTTATACACGACGTATTCTGTTTACAGATACTTCTTCCGGTGAGGGTTCTCATATACACTGAGCTCATGCAAATTGAATTAAGCCTTTTTTAAAAGTGTTTTTACTGGTGAATTATATATTACTTTGATAGCCTTTTAAAACGTTTTTATTGATGAACTTATATATATATATGTATGTATCTATTAAATTGATTTCTAGTGCTGTCACTTCACTGAGAGGTGTTTGATGTAATTGGCAGACAATGTGATTCCTTGATGCCCTTCAAAGAAACTGCAAGTTGCATTGTCATTGGCTAGTTAGTTTATTCAAGTCTTTGATTTCTTTGTAAATCTTAGATTATATGCTGATTACCTGAATCTTGAAATACTAAATCTACCAAATTTTCTAAAAGAATATCTTCTTAGAGTTACATTGGAACTTGACGAAATCAAGGTCCTTCAATATAAGTTTTTGTTTACAATTTATGCGTAATTGCAAGGTTTTATCTGATTACTTATAGTTTAAAAGGAAGATAAAAAACCAAAGTTCAATGATCTTTGTTTTCTTGAAGCAAAATTGGCTCAGAAAAAGGCCTAGTCCAAAGAAATTTTGTGTATATGTATGCTTGACATACTTTTCATATACTTGTCAAGTTATGGTGGGGGTATGAAACTAGCACTCTAATCTATAAAGGAAATATTCCCAATCCCACCACTAATTAATCTTTTCAGATTATCATAGGATGACTTTTAGGAGGTGGTAAAAATATCAGAGAAAGGGCCCATATTACACAATAATGGATCTAGAAATATTGACCAAATAGCGGTACATGATTCTTTGCAGAAAAATTATCAGTTGATTTGAAGGATCGGATGTTTTTTTGGTGTGAGAATATATATGTTGACAGTCTTGAAAGCAGCAAATGTGAATAAAGTTACTAGTACTAGTTTATTTCGTCAGGTAAATTTTGTCAAATGACATATTTCTTGTCCCGTTGGTTTTTGTCCATCTTCTAAAGTTCAAAGCTGCACAACCATTTGAATTATGGTTTTATGTTAAGACATCCTAAAAAAATATATGTGAATTTTAACGTGTGATATCACGCTAATTAATATTTTTATTAGGTTATCTGTCTATATTTACCATAAAACATGTAATTACTTTAATAAGTAATTCGATTGCCCAAGATCTAGTGCTTTCAAGAAATTAGATCTTATAGTCACGTACATAAATATTGGATCTGAGAAGGAAGATATCCTTGTTGAACTTCCACCGCCATCTAATTATCAAAAAGAATTTTTACTTGGTCCATTAGAATATCAACATGGATATTTTCCTTTGGAAAAATAATATCCTTGTTGAACTTCGACGGTCATCTAGTTATAAAAGAGTTTTCACTTACTTTGTCCATCAGAAAAATCAACAAGGACATTATTGGTTGTCTTCTAAAATTTTTAAAATATGGGTGCGCCAGTAAAAATAGAAAAACATGTATTAAGTGATAATTGAGCTTGTTCTTCTAGGTAAAAAACTTTATATTTAATCAAATACATCATTCAGCCTTTCTAAAGCATGAGTGACAATTAATAACATTAGACTAATTCTAAAATATACATACATTATATGCCTAATTTTGGCTGAAAGACAAAGTTCACATGTCCCATAAATTATCTTATAAATTCGCCTCTGGGTGTGATGTGAATAAAGTCAAACGTGAAAAGTAGAGAAAAATAAATATTTATAAGGAGTTGGATACTCTTAATGGTGTAAAGCTTATTAGGAAAAACCGTGCGAGTTTGGCCCAAAGCGGACAATATTACACAATGTTAGAAGCATCTTTGGGGCGTTTAGTTCAACAACTGATATCAAAGAAAATAATTTGGCAGAACGACTATAGAGATGGCGAGTGTGGTGTGGGGTCCGACTTACTACATTTGTTCGTCTACGGGCTGGTTTACGGCCTTTACTCGTAGCTTTGAAGACACATATGAAATATGATGGGTCATGTGAAACTTAGTTCAAGGGAAAAATTATGGGGTATTATGACTTTTAGCCCGCATCAGAAACTATTTACATTCGGTAGCCGAAAAAGTGTAAAATTTGTATAACTTTTGTATCTAACATACAGAATGTATATATATACATACATTCATATTTTCGGCTATTATTTTGAGAGCACCTATACAATGTCATCTTTTCAAAAATAAATTATTAGGTGTGTGTGATAATATCCCCATATGGAAAGTAAAAATAAATAAATAAATAAATAAATAAATAAGCTACTTATAAGAAGTTGGATACTCTTAATCATGTGAGGCCTTTCGAAAAAATTGTGCGAGTTTGGTCCAAAGCGGATGACATCATACCATATTAGAAGTAGTATCTTTAGGCAGTTTAAGTCGAATAGATATTTTCGGGAAAAAATCAAGTTCGACCATGACGGGATATTTCGAAAACATAATATAATTAAGTAAAATAAAGTCTTATAAACTTTTAGATGATATAAATTAATAGCACACATTTCTTCAATCGTCGGTTACAAAAATAAATTATTCGATTTTTCAATACCTACAAGTATGTAGAAACCCTCGAGATTAGAAAGAAAAAAGGATTTGTGAGAAGGAACATCGACAGAACTATGATTTTCACTAATAATATTTAAAATACAGAAACAAATACACGAAGGAGTCAAAGTCAAACTATTTAATAAGTATCTATTATATATACATAAAAATAATTTTAATTTTATATATACAATATAATTTAGTGGCAAAGGAAATTCGCATGACCCCTTGTGTTAGCCCCTTGACAAAGGTCCTCGGCAGGTGTGGGTTGTGACAAGGATTTTCATGATGGCCTTGGCACACAACCTGAAAAATTGGGCAACATCATGATGGGCTGCTCGGCATGACGGACAGTGCGGGGTTCGACAAACGCACCTTGAATGGAAGCAAGGCGCATTTTACTTAGATGTGCGGATTGGCAAAACAATGGCAATGCAAAGCCATGTCAAGCAGGGGCAAAGACATGGCAAGGCAAGGCAAGACAAGGCGGGACAAGCAATGACAAATGATACGGGCAGATTTGATCAAGTTGGGGGCGACTTGACATGGGCGGGCAGCTTTGACAATGAACGTGTGCGGCTAAGTCAGTGGGTGGCGAGCTTTGGCAATGACATTGGCGCGGAGCAGTGTCAAAGGCAAGGTTGGGCGCAATGCCAGCCTTAGCACAAAGCAGCTGGGCGAAAATCAGACCAAGCTGTGCAAAAGCAGCAGTTGGAAAACATGTGGCAAGCACATGAGAAGCAGTTGGCAGTTGCAACCTCTTCCAAGACATGTTGATCATGGCCTAAAAGTGTGCCCACATTTTTGTACTTTGTCTTAACTTGTTGCTCATCAGTTGGGGCTTGTCAACTGATTGTAGCCTTATAAATTCTTGCCTAAACTGTCCAAAACGGGGCAGAAAACTTAGTCTATGTCATTGTGAAGCCAAATACGTCTAAGTCATTTCCTAAGGATGGGAAAACTATTTTGGAGCAGGGAATTAGGGAATTTTTTGTCTTGGCCATAGGGTAGGCTATTGTATTCTTGTATTCACTTATTAATACAAGTTGGGAAGAAATTCCTGTATATCGTGTGTGCCTTTATCTACTATTTTTGCTACTTATTTTCATTCTAAGTTCAAACATCCCTAAAAATAAAACTAAGTGTTGGAAAGGCTGAAGTCAAGACTGGGCTTCACTGCCGCACGGAGGTGAACCTCGGGCTGAGTTCGAGTGACACAAATCACCCCTGTGACAATTGGTATCAGAGCGTGGCTGGATCGGGGCGAAGACACAACGTTCAGTGGTTGAATTTTGTGAAGAATGGCTGGTGGCAACGCAGAACTGAGGGAAAAGGTTACTGCATTAGAGGCACTTGTCGGAACTGTTGATGGGGATCAATTTCTGACTATCTTGACTCGTCTCGCCTATCTTGAAGTCGAGATGAATAGGCTGAGCCAGGAGTGCACAGATCTGAAAATGGAAAATGGGTTGTTGCGTCGTGCTGTTGGCAATGATGAAGCACGGCGTGGAGCAGATCGTACCAAGGTCAGAATTCCGGAGCCTAAAGAGTTCAATGGCACAAGGAGTGCCAAGAAACTCGAAAACTTCTTGTGGGATATGGAACAGTACTTCCATGCTACCAAAGTACAATATGAAGACAAAGTCCCCATTACGACTATGTACTTGGTGGATGATGCAAAGCTGTGGTGGCGTA